GAGTTCCAGAGTTCGTGCTATAAGTTCACCCGAAATCCCGTCAAGAATGTGATCCAAGCGGAGGACACATGCCTTCTATACAACTCACACCTAATTAGTGTCAACACATTGGATGAGCACTTGTTTGTGACCCAATGGCTCCGCAATAACGACCCCTTGCATAGGAAATGGCACACTTCGGGACGCGATGACGGCAATAATGTGTGGAAATGGTCGGCCGATCGCACGGACTTCACCATGATTAACGACTTGTGGCTACCGTTTAATGAGAATAGTGTTACTCGGTTTGACTGGACGCTCACCACTGGAAAGCAAGCCGCGTATAAGTTAGTAGACTATTACCGGCCGTCCCAACATATAATTTAACATTTATTAGATTTGATTGCTTACCATATCTTAACATTTGTCCCAAACTCGCAGTTTCTCTCAGACGGCCGCCCGTTGGGGTCTAATCCGCGTGAATGAGAACCAGGAGTTGCCATACATTTGCGAAATCAAAAAAGAGGATTTAGTGAACGCTATAATCAGCGAACGAGAGATCGGTATATATCCTAAAGTTTGACTCTTTTGTGAAATTTCTGAAAACCCTTTAATTTATGTACAGATTATGGCATAACAGTTGTCGATAAGCGACATGTGCCCAGAGGACCGGTATTTACTCAAGAGCCCAAAAATGCCGTTTTTGATCTGAGCGGTCAGTTTTCCACCAGCAGTTTGAACCATAATTTGTGACTTATTTTACTCCCGGTTTAGGTCGGAGTCAATTGAATTACGTGTCGATCAGATGCGTGGCCGACGGCTATCCGACGTCGATATACAAGTGGTATAAAGAGGAATACGTGAACAATCGGCTCACTTCCAGATACATTGACCCCCTGTCCGACAACCGGATCACACAGACAGATGGGACGCTCACTATCTATAACCCGCAACAGACCCAGGATAGGGGCAAATATCACTGTACGGCTGAAAACAAGTTCGGAGTCATCATCAGCCAAACCGTTCAGTTGAGCTTCGGATGTGAGTTCAGCCATTCATTACAGAGATTGCATACCATATCCCTAACCACTTGTCATGTTTGTATGGGACAGACATCGGCGAGTTCACGAAAAAGCGTTCACCAGATTATGGCAAAGAGTATTGGGGGAAATCCATATCATGTGATCCCCCCCAACACCACCCGCGAGTCAACTACTACTGGACCCGCAACTCGTTCCCCAACTTCGTGGAGGAGGACCGGCGGGTATTTGTCTCACACGACGGCAACCTATACTTCTCATCGCTCGAGAAAATAGATCGGGCTAACTATTCGTGCAACGTCCAGTCGGTCATATCGAGCACAGGGCGCACCGGACCATTTTTCCCGCTCATAGTAGACCCGGCCAGTAGCGGCCAAAAGCTACTGTTCCCCAATAATTTCCCGAAAGCCTTTCCTGAGGCGCCCTTAGCTGGCGATGACGTGAGGCTGGAGTGTATGGCCTACGGATATCCCGTTCCCGCGTATAACTGGAGCCGTTCGGGTGTCAGCAATAGGCTGCCCGACACTGCCTACACTACTAATCATAATCGGGTGCTTATACTGCCGAAAGTGCAGGTGGAGGACATGGGAGACTACATGTGCACAGTTACCAGTGGTCGGGATGTCATACAAAAGAAAGTGATGCTCAGTATTCAATGTAAGTAGTGATTGGCTTTCCCACAGAATATTCTGTATATTTGGTGTTCATTTTGTATTTGATTTCAATATCCATAGCACTGCCGGTGTTTACCATAAAGTTAGGCAATAAAGTGATAGAAAGAGGTGCCGCCCGTCCCCTCGTGTGGACGTGTGAGGCGTTTGGCATTCCGGACGTGTATTATCAGTGGTATAAAAACGGCGAAGAACTCAAAGACCGGACTCTAATGGATAACTCGCTGTCGCCGGAAGACCGGCAGCGGTATATCGTTAACCAAAACATACTGACCATCGATGGCCTCATACCGGATAGGGATGAGGGTATGTATCAGTGCCGGGCCAGCAATCAGTTGGGCAGTGCCTTCACCGGCGGGCAGTTGCGTATCATATCGATGGCGCCGTCCTTCCGGAAACACCCGTTGGAAATCGAGACCTATGCCTCAGAAGGCGGTAATATAACAATTCCGTGCGTTCCCGAAGCCATACCATTCCCCGCATTCGAGTGGCAGAAAGAGGGTATGTATTGTGGGAATCGGGTTAAGGGTTAGGGATTTCAATGATTTGTCAAATAAGGAACAGTAGATTTATTTAGTAATTTTAGACTAATAATAAGGGAACTCTAGTTTTAATTGATTTAATGTTTGGTGTATAGGTTCGCGAATCGGTGGGGCTGTGGGCAGAATCCGAGTGCTGCCCAACGGATTCCTAGCCATAAATCCGGTCCAGATATCGGACGAAGGGGTTTACACGTGTATAGCGCGCAACGACCTGGGCTTCGACCGGTCCCAGGGCTACCTCCGGGTGTTCAATAGCCCGCGTATTTATGACGCGCCGGCCGTGTCTTATGATCGGCGGGTCAACGAGACACTGGAGATGCCGTGCAGTGCCTTCACGGACGCCGCCCTCGACGTCGCCTACATTTGGCGTCACAACGGACTCAGAATTAATTTCACGAAAACCCCGCAGTTTTCAGAAGGTATGTATGGTTTTAGGGGTCAGTCATAAGTACGTGCGTTAGAGATAATCATACGAAATGTCTTTCCCCTGAAGGCTCGTACCCGGGATTCCTGCGCCTCAATAACATAACCCTCTCAGAGGCCGGGGATTACGTGTGCGAAGTGAAGACATCTGTGGGTAGAAATCAGGCGAAAACCGTACTGCAGGTGTCGGGCCCTCCCAGCGCTCCCGGAGCCGTATTGGCCGAGGAATTAACGTCGACGTCGGCTAAGATTCACTGGTCGGACGGGTCGGACAACGGGCGTCGCGTGTGGGCCTATATGATAGAGGGGCGCACTAACCACAACCAGATGTGGCTGCCTATAGTCAATATATCCGACTATCAGCAACAGTATGTTACCGAAAAACAGACGGGTAGGCGCGTGACACACATGCGCGACGTACTGTCCCCCTGGAGTTCGTACGAGTTTCGCGTGTCGGCCATCAATGACATCGGATTGGGTCCGCCCTCTGGTCTGTCATACCAACCCGACATATACACCTATAGTTTGATTTATTTTATCACTAATTTCTGTGTTTTCATTGAACGCGTGATTAGATCCCAGCCCTCAGTATAACACAGACAAGTCATTCCCATTCAAAGCCCCATCGAATGTGGGCGGAGGCGGTGGTAAAGCGGGTACTCTGACCATCACATGGGATCCATTGCCACCACAGGACTGGAACGCACCGGAAATCTGGTACCAAATCTACTACAGGTTTGTACAGAATATTATTTTTACATAACTATTAAATCCGATGGGAAATGGAGTTTAAATGTAACCAATTTTTGGGGATCACTGAATGGTAGAGCTGAAGAGCTGCGCGAGTCGGACCCATACATCGCTAAGAACCTGACATCCCTGGGCAACACCAACATGTATGCCGTACACGTGGGCGAAGACAACTACTTCAAGCGCTACTCCGTTCGAGTGCAGGCCATGAACTCGATGGGCGCCGGGAGGGTCATCAGCGACCCGGTGACCGTCTACTCGGCCGAGTCTATGCCACACGTGGCGCCCAACCAGGTCTACGCCGTGGCCTACAACTCGACGTCACTGAACATCTCGTGGGCGCCGCTGGAGATGACCCGCGAGAAGATCAGGGGTCGACTCATCGGCCATCGCATCAAGTATTGGCCCAACAATAAGGACCAGCAGTTGGACAGCCTTACGCTGTTGAACAGAGGTCTCGACCCCTGGGGCCTCATTGTGGCCTTAGTGCCCGACACCGAGTACTACATATCGGTGATGGCCTACAACGACGCGGGCAGTGGACCCGAATCCGAGCCATTCCTTGCGCGCACTTATAAGGCGGCGCCACAGCGACAGCCCACGAGTGTCAACATAACGGCCACCGATTCGCACTCAGTTATGGTCACCTGGAGGGGCATCACTACACTGACCAACGCAGAGGAGCCCATCATTGGCTACAAAGTGCGGTACTGGGAGTCCGATCAGCCAATCAGTGGCGCCAAAGAGGTGTATAAGTATTTAGACGGCGGGGAACTCATAGCAGTCATATCCGACTTAATTCCCGGCAAAGTCTATAAGCTTAGGGTTTTGGCGTTCAGTAGCGGTGGCGATGGAAAAATGAGTACCCAGGTATGTCACCCACACCCCTAACCACTCTAACCCTCATTAAACAATTAATGTGTTTTAACCCCAATTCCAGTGGGAGTTTAAAGTGGGCGAAGGCGTGCCCTCCCGTCTCACCTCATCAGCGCTGCAATCATTGCCGTCCATAGGATTACTGCATTGGATGATCACTGCGTTTACATTAATCTCATTGCTCACTAATCCACACGTGAATCTCACAAATTAATATGAAAACTGAACAAAACAAACAAAAAGTATCACCAAATTTTATGCACACATTTATACAAATAATTTTTTAAACGCATTTATATATTATATACAAATGAAAACATGACTTTTTAATTAATTAATTAAAAAACGTATTGTTTTTTATACACAATTTCAGTTGATTTTTGCCTTTTTTCGTGTCCAAAGGGTTTTTAAGTCATTTATAGTTTTGTAGTGAATATTGCGAATCGGAAAACAAACAAAAAACAAACAAAATCTCACATTAATTAACACCGAATGCCACAGAGTTTGGCTGATAGTCGGCAGCGCCGGCGTCATCGCCGTCCACAGCGACCATAACCACGTCAGCGCCGGTCGACTCGTATTTCGACAGCTTGTCCTTCGCCTCCTTGAGCTGTTGCTGGAGATAATAAATGGTGTTTTGCATGCCTTCCACCTCCTCGTCCAACTCCAACAGGAATTCATCCATTTCTGCGACACAAACACACAATCATTAGTGAGTCAAATGGCAACGCATTGACAATACACTCGGTGAGTGTCTGTCCACTCCGTGAGTGTCTGTCCCACTGCTCACCCGATTGGCTCTTCTTGAGCTCTTCGGAGAAGCTTTTCTGAAGCGCGAGTTCGCCCTCCAGTTTGGCTATCCGTCCGCTGGCTATGAGTCGTCCCAACTCCTCGTTCTCCTGATATAAGAGCCGACACTTAGCCATCAGTCGCTTACCGGTTGTGCTAAGGGTTCCCAAAACAAACCAATCACTCAATGGATCTATTAGTGGTGATAATGGCATACCTGTCGGGCGTGAACTTCCATGCGTTCAACTCATTCTGCATTTCCTCGACTCTGGCCCGGGATGTGTCCACTTCTCGCTTCATCTTATCGAACATCAGATTCACTGCCGGATCGATGAGCGCCGACTGCAACTGACCCGTCGACGGCACCTGCGATTGCTTCAGCTCCTGGATCTGGTTCTGCGAGGATAGTCATAAACAATGAGTGGGCGCACACCCCGGGATCCGGGGGTACAGCGGGCACGAGGTATAGATAACAGACAAATGGTATGACAATCACTGAGACACACAAAACAGTAGAGGGATAGGAATGACTGGAATGGTATGAAAGACGATAACATATGCTATTAAATAATATACCTGTAGAAGGGAAAGGGATGTAAGGAAT